ATGAGTAGACAGTGGCGTTTTCAAGAGGATAAAGAGAATAAGTGACATATGATATTATCATAGTCCTGAAGACTGACAGAATGTGTGCTTGTATATATTTTACATTTTTCTCTGTTTTAATGTCTAATACAGTGAATTAGATAGATATAACCCACAAAAACAAAAGTTCTTTAGAGTCTCTGACTCTGAGTGTAAATGAGTCACAAATCCAGAAAGTCTGAGAACAGCTGCAAGGCTGCAGTAAACCATCTACCAGGGGCTTGTAATCAGTGGCATATGGCCCAAGGGCTGACTCCAAAAGGCAACACCTATCTCCACAATTGAAGGGTGATTACAGGACCTACAGTTAATTCCTGAGGATGTAGGTTTAGAAGGGACAGACCCAGAAAAACCCTTGCTGTCTAATCGACCACAAGGGTTTGCTTTAGGCTTATGTTGATCTTAAGATCTCCTTAGAACTACTCAGGAGCTTAACTGAGAACACCCAGATCTTCTGAAAATCCTTGTGGCTGAATTCAGAACTTCTCAGAATCCTTCTCATAGCTGGAGCTGCCTCACACCTGGAGCTAGGAATCACCCTGACACCCTCAGCAGCTCACTCCTGCCCTTCTGGTGTCTGCAGCCACAGGAAATCAGCCTGAACTGCACAGAATAGCTGTTTCTCCTTTTCAATAGGTGACCTGACTGTACGATCAATCCTTTTACTCTCAGTAAGGGCTAAGCTAGGTACAAAATGCAAAATAAAAAAAGACAGGCACCCGATTCAATTGGGAATTTCACACGAATACATCAGGATTTCAACTGTTGGTTTATATACCATCTCACCTTTAAGTAATAAACCAGGAGTTCATTGAGAGCAGGGTCTGCATTTAGGTTGACTAAGTAACACTTGTCATCCCCCACCTTGATGCCGGACGTCTCAAGGGAAATCCCCATACTTTCAAGTTGTCGCTGTCTCTCCTGTGGACAAAAGCAAACAAACGCAGGGAACTCTATTTGTTACTCTACTCACAAGATGTATCCATGGAAAATTTAAGTCACTGTTGCAGGGGACAACGCCAATAAAATTACACATTCTACTCAGCTCAACCAAGTTTGCTGAGAACCTACAATGAGTGAAATCTTGTCCCCATTTCATAAGGACACAAAGGGTGAAGCAGACATCATCTTAATCCCTAAATGGTCCACAGTCTGGTAGTGGAAATATGACTCATATAACTAGAACACAAAAGAAGACAGTACCATGCCATTGGAGAGATGCAAAGTGCTACAGAGCTTCAAAGGAGAAGAGACTATGTATAGGTTAAGAGATCAGGAAAGAGCAAAAACGTGGAAACAACTCAAAGGTCCATCAATGGATGAATGGATAAACAAAATGTGGTACATACGTCTAAGGGAATATTATTCAGCCATAAAAAGAAATGAAGTACTGATGCATGCTACAACATGAATGAAACTTAAAAACATTACGCTGTTTGAAAGAAGTCAGACATAGACGGTCAAATATTGTATGATTTCATTTAAGTGAAATGTCCAGAACAGGTAAATCCATAGAGACAGAAAGCATACTGGTGGTTCCAGGGGATGGGGGAATGGAAAGTGATGGCTTAATGGGTATGGGGTTTTATTTGGGGGAGATGACAATGTTTTGGAACAAGATAGATGTAGGAGTTGTACAATATTTTGAATGTACTAAACACCACCAAATCGTTTAGTTAAAAATGATGAATTTCATGTTCTATGAATTTCACCTCAATTAAAAAAAAAAAAAAGAGGTACCAGGAGAGTCTTCCAGAAGAGAATACATTTGAGATGGTTCTTGAAGCATAAGAAGAATTTCAACAGGAAGAGTGGGAGAGTAGGAGGATGAGGGCAGGGTGTTCTAGGGGTGGGGCCTGGGGAAGCACAATGAAGACTCTGGGCATACTGGATGATTTCCAGTACCAAGAACCCCTAGCATATGTGGGAAAGCAGTGGAAGAATGAACCCTAGCAAATGTGGGAAAGCAGTGGGAGATGAACACCTAGCAAATGTGGGAAAGCAGTGGAAGATGGAGCTAGCAAAGCAAGTTGGGCCATATTGTCGAGGACCTTGAATTCATTATTCATTAGAGCCTACAATAGACTAGGCACTATTTAGGACTGGGAAAACACTAGTGAACAAAACAATGTCCCTTCCTTCATGAACACTGATATTCTAGTGGGAGGAGACAAACCATGAAGAAACAGACAAGTTTCCAATGGTAGTAAATATTATGGAGAAACATAAAACAACCTAAGAGGGATAGAAGTTTTGTGTGTGTATGTATATGTGTGTATATAGATATCTATAAGAAACATATCAGCAGAAGCCTGGATGAGGTCCCAGTTACTGCTTTAAGCTACTTGCTTGGGATGGTCAAATATTTCCAAGGAGTCAATGAGATTAAAATGTTCATGAAATGCACAGTGTAAAGATACGTACTACACACACAGGCAATATTAGTTCCTGCTGTATATTTTGTCTCCAGTAAAGCCCACACAGCATTTTCTAACAAGCCCAGAGGATCAAAGATATTGGAAAAAAGGATGGTAGTGCTGTTTGTTATAAATTCTCTGCCAGTCAGGTAGCCTTATGCTTTGCCATGTGATCTAAAATTGTAAAACCAGTTTTTGTTCAAATGTGAAAAGTAGGAAATTCTAAAGACATTTCCTGTAATCATAACTGTTCAAATTCATCGCTCTCTAATGCTTCTAGCAAATATATGAACCAGACTGCAAGTCAAAAAAAGGCAAGAAATTCGTGTCTAAACTGATCTCCAGTTCAGCCCACAGAGGTCCTTTGAAGACTTTTTGAGGATGACAAGAAGCTATACAAAGCAAATGAAAAAGGAATCACAACATTTCAGGCCTCAGTTATCAAGCTACCTGTGCAATTTCTTCTGTTTTCCTCAGCTTCTCTTCCCAAGTCACTGTTAGTTCTTTTATCAGCTTTTCAGATTCTTCAAGCTTCTCCTTCAGTTCTGGGGCCTTCATAGCCTTTACAACAAAACCAAAGATATCTGATTTTTAAATTGTTTTTCCATCATTATGTACAAGACTATCATTTACTGTCTGTGCTTAAGCAGTTATCAATAGTCTGTTGAGAGCAAGTGCTTAAGTCACATACACTCAGGGCAGGTTTAGACTTTATTAATCAAGTGGAACGGAGAAGAACTTGGTTGCTGCTGTTTAAAGAAAAGGAAATACCAGTCTCCTGAACTGAAGTGATATAAATCATTCAGGGTAATTTTATACATCATACTCAAATTCCACACTTAAAGACCTAAAAGATGCTAAAGTTCATCTTCGAAATAGAAAAGCAGGGGAAAAAAAAAAAGGACACCTAAGCAAAATTCTTTTTTCAATAAGACAGATCAACACACTTCACCAATAAATGCATTCTAGTTATATTAAGGGACTATGAAAAGTGAAGATTCTTCTTATTTATTTGAAAAATTGAATCTGGGCCCTTTATAATTACTTTTCTCTATGGATGGTAATAAATTTAGCATACTTAATATTTGCTTGGAAGCAGGGCAACTGCTTAAAATGTCAGTGACTTTCCCCTGAGTTTGTTCAGTGATAGTACCCAAAGGACCTGAAGGTAAATATATGCAGCTTAGAACACAATTTTTGGACTTAACTTGGCACCAATATGCTGTGACACCCTATAGTAACTAACATGAGCCTCTACAGAGCCAAACCCTATGAACAAGGACGATGGCAGAGCTTGGACGAGGGGCTGAAATGCTGTCCATCTGGAGGCTGGCTGAGTCTGCCTGAGTTTCCAGGTGTTAACAGAGCCTGAGAGTGACATTTAGTGCTGGGTACAGGGAGGTACAGGTGAACATTCTAGGTGAGCCTGCTGTGGCTTTTCTTCTCTCTCCTTTGGCCACATACTGCTCTGGCCATCTGGCCTACATTATATGGGGCAGTGGAAATGCAGATTCAGAAATAAGTGGAAGTAACTAGATGATCTACCTATAAACAAATTCCAGGATCAATACGCTTTCCTCCCAGGATCATGCCTCTCTTTGAAGTTTATTAGCATTTTGATTTTTCGGATGTTTTCCAGCCCTTGTTGGCATCAATTAAAAAAGTATGCTTGATGTACTGAATGATGATTTAATGATAAAATTCAGCAACATTTACTGAGCACTTACTATGTGCAAAGCATTGTGCTAAGTGCTTTCTAGTATCAAATGCTGCACTAGGGGTTAGGGATGAAAAACTGAGTAAAGCACAGCTTCCTGCAGTTGAGGAGCCCACAGCCTAGAAGAAGAGGAAAGGCGTGTAAACAAACAGTTACAATGTAACGCCACAATCACCAATTTAAAAAGAGTATTCAGACCCCTGGCTTCCTCTGCCCTTTTTTTTTTTTTTTCATTCCTAATTTCATGTCGATTACTTTTTGATTAAATAAACGGATGGATAAAAAGTATTTAAACGGTGTCTGGCATACAAGTGCTCAGTAAATAACGGCTATTACCAAGCCCCCTGCAGACACACACAGTGTAATACCCTCTCAACTAAAGTAGAGGAAGAAGAAAGCGGTATGAAGAATATCAACTTATGGTAGAGGTCTCAGGTGCACACCTAAGTCCCAGAATACGGACAGCATGCGACTTAAGCTAAGTCACTTGGCTTCTACCTCAGTCCCTTCACCTATTTCAGAGGAGACCCCGTCTCACCCAGTAACTACGCATAAGGCAACAGCTTTTTAGAATAGCATGTGATTATTCAAGTCTGCGTAAAGTCCATGTAAAATGGTAACAAAGCAACATTATTGCTTTTGTTTCTTGCCAAGAGCGGATGTAAATGAAAAAGCAAACAGAGATTTCTGCGTTATTCCTAGTGTTTGACCGTCATTGATCACACTGCCTCCAAGACTGAATGAGCAGATGATATGTAACTAGTGTCTCTGAAAACGGCAAGGCACTGTGGAAACAGATCTACAATGCTAATAACCAAGAAAAAACACACTCGGTTTTTAGAATTTCACTTTGGAAGAAACGTGGGCTCAAGGGCCAACGGATTCAGGAGTAAACGATTAGGCAGCAGCAGGAACTCTCTCTCATTTGCTCGCCTCCTCGTCTGGAAGCTCCCAGGGCAGAGTCTGGTATTACTCTCATTGTTCTTCACGATGCCTAGCACACAGCAGATGCCAACAAACACTGAAACGGTAAAATGACCTAGAACCGCAAGCACGCACGTCCTCACGGGTCACATACCACAAGCCGGGGATTTCAAACCCAGGGAACATCAGGCTGACTTTACCTCAGCCTGTGAGAGCTGCTCCCTCAGTTTCTCCACTTCTTCCCGCAGTTCTCGGATGAGTCTTGCATTGGGATCCTCGTTGACAACAGCGTGGTTAACAATCCTTTTGGCTCGATCTGCGTATCTTAACGTGGAGAGGGTCTCTTCATAGTTGTCTGCTGCTGGGCTGATAGTGGCTATCATGGAGGTCTGGCTGTTGCCCCCCAAATTGTCCTGCAAAGTAGTTCAAATATCCTATTGGGAAAAGAGGTCCCTTCCACAAACACGGGATGCAATCAGCGCACACGCATGTATGACACTGCTCCCCAGGGACCTGGGTCTGTAGTTCACAAGTGATTTAGGACAAGATGAACAGTGGCCTCTCAAGAATCACAATAATGAAAAATGCCCCTCGAACAGATTATAATGGAATAAAAAGCAACAGAAAACCGTTTTCATTCTGCTTTCCTAGGAATGAGGATAACAGTATTGTCACCAGAGTTCTCTGTGTACTTGATTAGCTTTGCACACGCCTTTCAGCTGTGGCATCTGAAATAGCCGATTTATAGTTGGAAGAACATGAGAACAATGTATTACCTTGAGAAGCCAAGTGAGAACTGAATCTCGGTAAGGCACAAATTTGTTTTTACCCTTGCCAGCTGCCTGGTCAGCCAGTGATGATATAACCAACCCCAGGGTTGTAAGTGATCTGCCAAGAGAAAAAAAAGTTTTATGGCACGTTTATTTTGTCTTCCTAAAACAACGATCTTTCTAGATGATAAGTATAAAAGATGCTGAAAAAAGCTCTAAAACTGACGCAAGCAAGTCTAAATAAATTTTTCTAGAAGCTGAAATACTGGGGGTAAAAGTAGCTATTAATTTAACAGAACGAATTTAGAACCTCTATAAGAATCTAGGCGCCCTGGTGGCGCAGTGGTGAAGAGCTCGGCTGCTAACCCAAAGGTCGGCAGTTTGAATCCACCAGCCGCTCCTTGGGAACCCTGTGGGGCGGTTCTGCTCTGTCCTGTAGGGTCGCTGTGGGTCGGAATCGGCTCAGTGGCAACGGGTTTTACAAGAATCTATTCTGTCCGATCACAGGATCGTATTCAGAACCTGGAAACATAAGTTTGTAAGATCAGACTAGAGAAGTTTAACTTACTCCAAATGTTATGATGGAAGGTCTGAACCATTTACTCTTTGGGTCTAATTTGGACCTTTCTGGTCTCTAATTATGTTTCCCAGAATGACCAAGTAACCTGCAGGGCACCCTTTCAGTACACACTATGAAGCACACCCTATCCATCTGCTTAAAGTCGGCAAACCTTTTTCAATGTAGAGTTGTACAAAAACAGTTGTACAAAAACAAAGAAGAGAATAACATACGGCGACTGTTTCAACCCGTTACTCAAAGTAGCATCAGCATCACCTGAGAGCATGTTAGAAACACAGAACCTCAGCAGCTTTCCCGGGAACTTGTTGGAGATGCAAATTCTTAGGCCCCCACCCTAGACATTCTTGTTAGCTGCCACCGAGTCAGCCCCAACTCACACTCACGGCCATCCCATATGCACATCTGAACGAAAGGCTGCCCGCTCCTGGGTCATCCCCATGATCGGCTGGGAATCTGACTGTTGTGATCCACAGGGTTTTCATCGGCTGCTTTTCAGAAGTAGATCTCCAGGCCTTTCTTCCTAGTCTGTCTTAGTCTGGAAGCTCTGCTGAAACCTACACGCAAGCCTCCACTGACAGACGGGTGGTGGCTGCGCGTGAAGTACACTGGCCAGGAATCGAACCTGGGTCTCCCACATGGAGGGCGAGAATTCCGCCAGGGAACCGCCAGCGCTCCCAAACCGCAGACATTCTGGATGAGGCCCAGAGAGCGGAACTCTAACAGGCCTGCCAGGTGATTCTGATGCAGGCTGAATCTGAGAGCCGCCACGTTAGCCTGGGCCACCGAGCTTACTTTGGTGACTAACACGTTCTCCACATCTTGAGAAGGGGGCCCTGGTGGCACGGCAGTTAAGTGCTTGGCTGCTAACCAAAAGGTCGGCAGTTTGAAAAGAATGTCGTGAAAACAACACGTATGTGGCGCTGAGGGACAGAGGGCTCCTTCTGTGTCGCAGTTGAGTCCCAAGTGCACCTTTACGGGGAGATCAACGGGATCCCAAGTTCGGGGGCCGGAAAACAGCAACCTCAGCAGATCTCACCGGAGTGCATCGGGGGTGATAGGACATCACACAGAGAAAATCCTTTGTTAATATTTTTAAAAATTAAATTTGAGGCTTGTTTTGACTAACAAGGAAGCCCACAAGTTAGCAAGTGAAAGACTAAACAGCGTGCTTTCCAACGTCAACAACAGAGTCCCATTAAATAAGTTGAAAGGGAAGAAAGTGTATTTCCCACAAAACAGAACTCCCCAAAGGTGAGTCACCGACAAGTCACTGAAATACAAAGCAAATTCGAGAAGCAGAAAATGAACCAGAACTGTAATAACGAACAGCCGTTACCGCAAAGTGACATAAATACGTACATCACACGACAGATTTAAAAGTTGAGAAGAATGAAAACATGTCCGTACAGAAACCTGCCCGAGAGCGCTCATTCGCAGCATTATTCACAATAGCCAACATGTGGAAACAACTCAAATGTCCAAACGGATAAACAAAAATGTGAAATACCTACACGATGCTATCGGGCACTCCAAGGGCTGGAGCTCTGAGGCGTGCTACAACATGAACGAACCTGGAAACCATCAGGCTGAGTGCAAGAGCCTTAAAAAATTATGCCAAGTGAAAAAGGCTGCACACAGAAGGCCACGTTTTAGGGTGACGAAAATTAGATTGTGGGGATGCCCGCACAGCTCTGTGAATATACTAAAGATAATCATACACTTTCAAGGGGTGAACTCTATGGTATATGAATTATTCCAGAAAGCTTAAAAAAAAAAAAAAAAAAGTAAAGCAAGCACAATTATAACTTTTCAGTTGCTGTTTAGTCAACTCTGACTCCTGGCGCCCCCATGTGAGTGAGCAGAACTGTCTCCATAGAGTTTTCAATGGCTGGTTGTTTGAACAGATCATTAGGTCTTTCTTCTGAGGCGTCTCTGGGCGAAATCCAACCACCAGCCTTTCAGTTAGCAGCTGAGCGTGTTAGCTTCTTGCTCCATCTAGGGACTCCTTGTCAATTTTAGGGGCAGAAAAAGTTATTTAAGGAATCTCTCTGATTCTACCAGGGCACTGCTCCTTCCCCAAACCTGCTGGAGTTAGGGATCAGATGGCAGCTCCTCGTTTTTAAATCTCTACCACAGGGATGCTTCTTACCACAAGTTCAAGCAGGGGATGGGCGCTCTGGAGGGGAGGAAGCAGCTAGGCTAGGAGATAACATCTATAAGCAGACAGCCAAGTTTTATGACAGACATGTCAAAAACTTTACCTGTGAATAATAATGGAGAATTCAGGGATCAAAATGAAAGTAACTGAAGCTTGGGAGGATCAGAAACAAAGCTGTTCCATAATAAACCAACCAATGAGGGAAAAGGGGAATCATAATTCAGACTTTGTTTTGCTTGCAGGACCTTCCTCCAGCCTAGTTTCCCTAGAAATTCTAATTACTAGATTCCTTTTCTTGGGAATGGAATGTGATGTGAGTTATCCATACTGTCTGGGATGGACTTCAGAAATGTTATTTTACCTACGTTTCCAAAGATCGATTTCTAAGATCATAAGTACTGTATAAAAACCAAAAACCCACTGCCGTCGAGTTGATTCCGACTCATAGCAACCGTATAGGAGAGAGGAGACTGCCCCATAGGGTTTCCAAGGAGCAGCGGGTGGATCTGAACTGCCAACCTTTTGGTCAGCAGCTGAACACTTAACCACTGTGCCACCAGAGCTCCAAGTACTGTATAAACAAAGAGCCAGTTGTCGTCAAGTCAATTCTGACTCACAGCAACCCTATAGTACCGTATAGAACTTAATAACTTCCATCTGGAGGGTAGAGACCATTTCTTGCCATACATTTTCCTGCATGCAATTACTGTCTCTGTGGGTCTCTCATGTTAAATGCAAAGACATTTTTCCAGATTTTCTTTCCACAGGCTTGGACCCTGTAATGGATAACTTGTGAGTAACAAGGGATTCCCACCCTTGGGAAGCAGGCCATTTTTATTCTCCCTAGACACAAGCCCATGCTTGCTAACTCAAGCAGTACCACTTTAAAAAAGTGAGACTGCCACGAGGAAATGAACATGAATCACAGAAAACACTTAAGAATTAAAAAAGGAAGACTGAGTCGCATGTAACTACAGAAACACTGTGCTTCTAAACTGTAGTATTCTGACACAAACCATACGACAGAATCCTCGGAGGGACATACACTAATATCCCTAGAACAAGTGTCCAACAGAAGCCACGTTTTGGAAATGTTAGTGTATACTTTATTACATAGCAACACAGCAATGCAAATGGAAAGGAGATTGGGGAAGACACTCATCAGACGGGAACTGCTCACACTTAATGACTGGCCACTGTTGAGAACGGAACAGAACCGTTACCAGCGACATTCCCAGTTAGAGGGAGAGTTCCATGATCTGAATGACTTCTTAGAGAAACTGAACTAGCCAGACTCCAAAATAAAACCAAACCCCTTGCCGTCCAGTTGATTCTGACTCATAGCGACCTTACCGGACAGAGCAGTACTGCCCCATAGGGTTCCCAAGGAGAGGCTGGTGGATTTGAACTGCTGACCTTCTGGTTAGCAGTCAAGCTCTTTAACCACTGCGCCACCAGGGCCCCAGCCAGATTCCAGGAGCAGGGAAAAGGCTTTCTCCTTCCAGCACCAGCAGACAGGTGGAGCCGCAATCTGATGTTTCAGATCCACCTTCCCCTGTGAAGACGGCTACAGGTGTCTCGTACTTCTCAGGCCTTGAACATACCACGGCGGTTTGGTGGCCCCACGGCACTGTGGTTCTTCAAACGAAAGGAATAACGTGCACTGTAAAGCTCTTAAGAGCTTAAGGAGAGATGATGTTCCTAAATCCGTAGGCCATTAGCAGCCACTAATGTCTGTGTGATGTCCCTGACAGGTCTGGAAAAGAGGATTATCAATGCTCCATCAAAGAAGCCCAAAAGGGGCCAAGAGAAAGCTTAGGAAACATGTCAGAGATTTCCTTCATTTTCGTGCTCAGCTGGGCCTACCAGCACTGATTTCAAGGCTCAGAAAGTCATTTGTGCACCTATTGTGTGGCACTTCAATTTATTACTTTATTTTCCTTTATTAACACCCATTTACACAGCACTTCCGCTGCTCGTCTGCCCGTTTGCGGTACTGTGGTGGCTTGCGTGTTGCTGTGATGCCAGAAGCTATGCCACTGTTTTCAAATATCGGCATGGTCACCCATGGTGGACAGGTTTCAGCGGAGCTTCCAGACTAAGACAGATTAGGAAGAAAGGCCTGGCAATCTACTTCTGAAAATCAACCAATGAAAACCCTGTGGATCACAGTGCTGGAAGATGAGCCCCCTCGGTTGGAAGGCCCTCAAAATACACAGTGGCCACAACAATGGACTGGAGCAGACCAACGATTGTGAAGAAAGCACAGGACTGGGCAGCGTTTTGTTCTCTTGGACAAAGGGTCGCCATGAGTCTGAGCCGACTCAACAGCAGCTAACAGCAACAATGTGAGTTGGTGGACTCGGCTCAGAGGCAGCTCCCCTTCCTCTAGCCAGTGATTTTGAGAAAAGCACAGGACCACCGTGGCAAACATCCGCGGGATGATAAACGTGTCATGAAAAAAGTTCCGTTGCTTAAACACTGGGAGCTGTAGCATTTCCCAAACTTCTCTGGTCAAGAAAATCCTCCTTCCTCTGACTTTTTACATGAAGGGGCTCACTGCTCCCCTAAGCTTCGTGCTCCTCCAGGGCAGGAATCATGTTGCAACACACCAAACACCACATATGGATTATCCTGCAGTTCTGGAGGTTAGAAGTCCAGCATGGGTTTCATGGAGCTAAAATCAAGGCATCAGCAGGGCTGTGTTCCCTCCAAAGATTCTAGGGCCTGTTTCCTTTTTTCCTCCCAGCTTCCATAAGCCACCTGCAGTCATTGGCTCCTGGCCGCTTCCCCCACCTTTCAGGGCAGCGATGGCCAACCACGTCTTTCTCACGCTGCATCACTCCGACGCTGCCATTCCTGCCTCCCTTCTCACTTATCCCTGTGATGACTGTA